AAAAAAAAAAAAAAAAAAAAGAAAACTAATAAGGAGAGTATAAAGGATTTTTGAAAGAAAATAAGACAATTATAAATGATGCATAAATATACAAGTATTCACTTTTTTCTTCTCTAAATTACTAAGAATTTTACTAGCTTACAATAGATTTAGATTTAATCTAAAAAGAAATAATGCATAATTCATGCCATCAGATGTTCTTATAATCAAATGTATACCCTTTGTAGCAGACAGACCCTGGAGTGGTCCCCATGATCTCCACCTCCTGGTATTCACATCTGTAATTCCCTCCCCTAGAATACAGATATGACCTATGACTAACTTCTAACCAATGGAACTTGACAAAAATCAAGGACTGTATATGATTACATAAGATTATAATGCCAAATCTTTGGTAAAGATTAATTGCTACTTTGGCAGATAACTACTGTAATGCTGAAACTCAAGAAGTATGATCTAATATATTCTGTTAGAAAAGAAGAAAACATGTGAGACAATTGTTCCAGACTCCAATTCAGATTCTATGCCTACTCAACAGTATACAAAGTACTTAATCTCGCAATCTAAATGTCACCATATTTTAAATGGATCTACTACCTATCAAACTTACTTCACAAGAATCCAAGTTCAAATGAAAATGCATACGGCAAAGCTGCTTTGAAAATTACAAAATACAACCCAAATGCAAACTACTCTTTATTTTAAAAATACAGGAAGACAGGGAGTATACACACAAATGGATACAAACACACACAACATTATCCAGTAGGATACAAAGTAACAATGACATCCACTACAGAGATACTTACATTCTTATTCTCTTAAGGGTAAAAATTTATCTAAAACATTTTAATTTTAAAAATGTATCTATTTTAGTTAAAGATTAAATTCTATCTACCAACAGCTAGAAATTTAACTGGAAATATTTACCTTTACAAAATTATCAGGGAACATTCCTCTTCTCCCATTTAATTCTCCTTCTAGCCATCCTTCCTCCTGTAGTTTTTTCACATTCCTGATGACTTCCCCAACTCGAATAGTTAATTCATCATCATGTACAGCATCATAGTCATACTCCACAATATAGTCAACTAAAAAAGGGGGGGGGGGAAGAGTATTTAAAATCTAATTTACAAAATACCATAAGCATATTAAGAAATTTAAAATTAATCTATTTAGCAATGCCAATTAATTACTAAAAAGATAGCAAGGGTTATCACAATAATTTTAAATATTTGCTACATTAGCAAATTTCTTAAATACCTTAGTATAGAACACAGTATAGCTTGTAAGTGGGAGTCTAAAAAGAAATAATGCATAATTCATGCCGTCAGATGTTCTTATAATCCAATGTATACCCTTTGTAGCAGACAGACCCTGGAGTGGTCCCCATGATCTCCACCTCCTGGTATTCACATCGTTCTATAATTTCCTCTCCTAGAATACAGATATGACCTATGACTAACTTCTAACCAATAGAATATGATAAAAATCAAGGACTGTATGTGATTACGTAAGATTATAATGCCAATAAACACATGAGTTTGAAAACAGATTATTCCCCCGTTGAGCCCCACATGAGAACAAAACCCCGGCCCACACGTGTTTCAGCCTTGCAGAGGACTCAGGTAGCCATGGCCTCTCTTAAACCACAGAAACTATAAAATAATAAATGTGTATTGTTTTAAGGGGCTAAGATTGTGTCAATCTGTATGGAACAGCAAACCAAGAGACTCTGAAATGAAGGGGTTTTAGATTATAGAATATCATATATGTATACAATTAATATTTTACAAGGTTCAATAAAAGAAAAGCAATAACCGATTTCTTGCTGAAGACAGCAAACTAGCCACAGCTCCATTTATCTTTTCTTCCTCATGTCAGACAAGAATGATAAAAAAGAAAATACAACTACAACAAAAAACACAAAAACAAGAATATTGCCAGACATATATCAAACCAAGAGCCATTTCCACAATGTCCGCCCCCATTCCTTTCTCATAAAACCTTAACTTTGTTCAGATATTTTGGAAACCTGTATCTTTTAAGTGAAGCTTCTCTCAGACACAGCTGGTTTAATCTAGTCTGGATCAGTACTTCTCAAATACCAAGTACTAATTAAGTCATTTGGGAAATCTTTTTTAAATGCAGGCTCTGATTGAGTAAGTGCTGAGATAAATAATGCAAAGATCTAGAGACAGTCCGATTACAGTAATTCTAAATACATAACAATTATTATACACACAGAGCAACTTGTTTTCAAACAGGTATGGGATGAATGAATTCTGACCTTTATTCAGGGAATCTTAAAATCAAAACACAAGGAAGGAATGGCCTCCTGCAAACTTTGGATGTCTTTTAAAGAAGATGTGATACCCCAAACAACTGCAAGCATTTGGAATGAAAATATGATTAAGATGGAAGAAATCAGAGATGGAAACATCCTAAATCTTTGCTAGATAAACTGCCAGATTAACCAACCCAAAATTGTAACACCTTCAGATTTCTTGTTACATGAAGTAGCTTTTTCTTAATTTGTAGATAGGATTAGGATTTCTACTTACAGTTGAAAATATCCCAACACGGTATGGAAGCCAGCAGGAAATTATAAATTTCTGAAAGTGGATGCATACCTGATAAAGCCAGAAGAAGCACCCTAGAGAACTTAAGAGAACCATAAATGAGATACCAATCTGTTCTTCAGAACCTTTAGAACAGCCAGAAATTCAGAAAAGGTGAACTTATATGAAATGCAAGGCTGAAAATAGGGAAATTTTGACTCAATCTCTATATAGTTATTCCATATAGAATAACTGATACCCATTATAATTACAATAATTTGATGAGACAAAATGCTAGGTAGCCAGATAAGGTTTATCTATCTATCAAGAAGAAAGAAGAAAGAAAAAAAGTGGGGGGGAGGGGAAAAAAAAGTTTGGGAAAACTAGCACAGCTACTATGGATGAATACTGGTTTCCCAAAGAAATGACTACTGAGAAATGTAAAGGTCCTCCAAAGTAATGGGCAGCCCCTAAACTGTAATTCCAAAATAAAACTTAAGTCCTACTGACATAAACGGAGTTCCCAGTCAGCTGTTTATTTTTTTGAGTATTTTATTTTAAGTATAAGCAGATATAGTTTATCATGAAAGACTATGATAAGCTGAAAAAGTACACCTAGAATGAGGAGTCAGAGCAGAAGAGGATGTCTGAGCAAGGGTGGAAAGTGAAGCACAGATAAGAGATTTGTTACATCTAAGTGGAATGATCAAGTTAGTAAATACATTAAGAATAATGGGAGCCAACTCTCTCTATAGCAGAGAAGAGAGTTACAAACCTATAAAAGGAACAAGCTAGATTCAATACTGTGATAGTGAATTATAACAAAGAGGTATAAACATGAACTTATGGGCTTTAATACAGAAAAATATAGATATGAATGTATATATATATACATACATATATTTACACATACAGTTACACACATTCATTCATCTAACACACTCTTTCTTGTTCTGAATGGACCTGAAACCAGCAACAACTTCAATGGCAACAAGCAAACCTAACACTAAGATCTTATATGTAGTAAACATCACTTTCTACAAAAATGAAATCAGGAATTTTGGAGAAAACAGCCAATTCCAGGGCTAGGCACGAAAAGTACAAGATAAGCCCAAAACAACAAGTTGTGCCAGAAAGCAAAGAAGTTCTCAAAAGAATGACATGTTATCAGACACAAAATGCTATCAAAAGGGTTCCTACCAGCCAAACTAGGACAAGTACAGCTTCAAAATAATGATATTAACAGAATATATACCCCACTGAATAAAATGAGAAACGATGAGTCAACACAGGTTATAAATCAGTGTTAATTTCTTCAACTCTATGACTATACGATTATGTAGGAAATAGTACTAGTTTATGGAAAATACATACTAAAATATCCAGGTAAAAGATACTTATTGGTCAGGGATAAGATTCTTTGCACCACAAAAGAATAAAATTCATGCATAACTTTAAATTACACACAAATATTTTAAGTTACACACAAACTTAATGGCCACCTTATATATCTAAAATTTCTATAAGTTAGTAATTATTTCAAAATAAAATTTAAAACAACATGGACAAATTTATATCCTCAAGAGATTATAATAAAGTTAATAAAACAATAGAATGCTATGAAAAAAAGGAATGAAAAAGTGAAAAAGCTTTGAAAGTTTATATCCTCCAAAATATAATTTTTTGAAGAGTAGGAAATAAATCCAGGAACTTTGCAAACAGAGAAAGAGACAAACAAAATATGAAAGCAAAGATAAGACATAATCAAGCCAACATCCAATTAACAGGAATTCAAGAAGAAAAGAAAAGAATGGAGAAATTAACAATAAAATAATACAAGAAAATAATCCAAAACTAAATGAAACAAATCTTCAAACAGAGAGAAGTATGTGACAGCCCAATACAATGAACAAATATTCACATCTAGGTAAAATTTCACAAGAAAAGGCACTAGAAAGCTCTGAGATGAAATGAAAAATTTATCTATGGAAGAATGAGAATCTGGCTCAGTGCCCATAGCTCAGCGGGTAGGATGCCAACCACTTACACCTAGGCTGGCAGGTTCAAACCTGCCCCAGACCTGTTAAACAACAATGACAACTACAACCAAAAAACAGCCAGGGGTTGTGACAGGCACCTGTAGTCCCAGCTACTTGGGATTCTGAGGCAAGAGAATAGCTTAAGCCCAAAAGTTTGAGGTTGCTGTAAGCTGTGATGCCACAGCACTCTCCCAAGGGGAACATAATGAGATTCTGTCTTAAAAAAAAAAAAAAAGAAAAGAAAAAGAAAAAATAAGAATCATACCAGAAGCCTTCTCATTAGCAATAAAAGATTCTAGAAGGGCTCGGCACCCATAGCTCAGTGGAGCCCACATACACTGAAGCTGGCAGTTCAAGCCCAGCCTGGGCCTGATAAATAATAAAGACAGCTGCAACGAAAAAATAGTTGGGCACTGTGGCAGAAGCCTATAGTCCCAGCTACTTGGGAGGCTGAGGCAAGAGAATCACTTAAGCCCAAGAGTTTGAAGTTGAGCCCAAGAGCTGTGATGCCGAGGCACTCTACCCAGAGTGACACAGTAAGACTCTCTCTCTCAAAAAAAAAAAGACTCTAGAAGAAGAAAAGTAGAAAGTCACTATAATACTCTACCAAATCAGTAGGCAAGTACAAAGAAAATTACTCCCACATATGAAATCCCATGTCACCCATAGTGTCCAGCCCACTTTAGTCAACTGTAACCAAGATTATAACAGCTTTTAGGGAGTTCTGAGTCCTAGAAAAATAAAAACATGAAGCTAAACAGAGGAAGACACAAAATCCAAGAAAATAATGGAGCCAATCCCGGAAAGTAAAAAAGTGCTAAAATTCCAATTGTGCAAAAATCTAAGGAACAAACAGCCTAAACAGGTGACAAAAAGCTGTAAGAGTTACCTAGGGACAAAGCAGAATAGGACACAGACTGTGAAATTTTATACTATGCTTACAAATGTGGGACACTTGAGGTCAGGAGCTTTAGGTCAAGAGGTTAAGAGAGCCCAGCCTGAGCAAAAAGACTCCATCACTACTAAATATAGAAAAATTAGCTGGGTGTGGTAGCACACACCTGTAGTCCCAGCTACTTGGGAGGCTGAGGAGTGAGCACTGCTTGAGCCCAGGAGTTGAGGTTACTTACTGTGAGCTAAGCTGAGGACGTGGCACTCTAGCCTGGGCAACAAAGTGAGACTCTGTCTCAAAAATAAAAAGTAAGACCAATGTGGTGGCTCATACCTATAATTCTAGCACTTTGGGAGGCAGAGGCAGGTGGACTGTTTGAGCTCAGGAGTTCAAGAGGATCACCTGAGCCCAAGAGATTGAGGCTGCTATGAGTTATGATGATGCCAGGGCATTCTACCCAGGGCAACAGAGTAAGATTCTATCTCTTTATTCTATCAATAAAATGAAAGTATCAAGTCAAAATCAGCAATAGAAACTAAAATAATTATTTAGAAACGTGAAAGGCAAAAAATAAAAATGCAATGGGGGCTCACACCTAT